ATCTAGGTACACCCATTATCGCTCGCGCGGCTGCATTCTGGACCAACTGCAGTCTTCGAGCACTTTTCAGGGGCAGCCCCATGTCTCCGGTCATGTGATCAGTATTTGTGACCATCAGAGCTTACTTCCTTCCAACAAGCAAAGGTCAGCATGGAAGCCAGTGTCCTTGCAAATGATGGTCACATGCTATTGCAATTAATGACCCATGCTGATTTGCTTGACTGAAGAGGAACTGATGCCTTACTTTAAATCCAACACGGTCATATTATGTTTCACTTAACAACTGCATTACTTGCCAGTCCTTTTTGTGTTTGTTAAGTGAGAACTGATTATCTTTAGAATAGTGTCTTAAATTGATTTTCACATTTTCTTTTGTGTGAAACATGAAGAATATGGAACCAGTGAAATTCAGAAGTGATCTAGGTTTGACTTTTTAATGAAACTTGACTTTAAAGTAATGCTCTATTCATTTGACTGCTCACGTTATAGACTAGGAAGTTTTCTTTTTAATTCCGGTAAAAAAGTGATATAAAACAGCTGCATTAACAAAACGTGGATCTGTGCTTTTTTTGTATTTGCATTATTTCATTGCATAAAGGTAATGTTTGCACACAACATTGTGACAGAAATTTCATCACCCCTTTCCCTCTCTCTCCCCAATTTCTGCAAGTTGTAAATTGCCTTCTCTGGCAGTATGAAAACTGCTATAATATAAATTCCCTATTCATCCTGCTTGCTCTATATTATGTTCTCTGCCATTTCATTCTTTATCACAGAACCATAATTTACGATCCCAAATTTACATGAAGCATTTCAAGTTAAAGGAGAATGGATTTTGATTTATCCAAACACGTACAGAAGAAATGCAGTTATCTTTAAAATATATGCTATGGAGATTGTGTCCTTGCCTAAAATTATACTTTGTCAGCTTTGTAATGGTGAGGTTTGTGGAAGGCCTACTCATAAATAATCTCAGTGAATGGCTTTTCATTTTGATTTTCTGGAGCTGAACTAAACATTTTAATCATGCTTGTGTTTGCCTGCTGTTGGCAAAAACTATCATTGCCATTTATTTATTTTTAAATAAAAGTATTACTCTTCTTAAGCCAGATAATTTAAGGTGAACCTATAATAGGAACACTTTTTTTTTTGCAATACAGCTTTTCTTTGCCTTCTTAGAAGTAAGTTCCACTGACTTAACTGTGAATTGTGTGAACACTATAGAAAACTTCTGTCAGACGGAATGAAAAATAAAGGATTATTAAGGATCCGAATTAGACTGATGTAAATGCAGTCTGAGTGCCAGTTTTGTGTACTGGGAAAGGCATCAGGCCAGAAACTAGGAAGCCATGATTTCTAGGCCCACCTTAGGTACAAAGCCAGTTGTGTGAGTCCAGTCACTTTGTCTCAGCCCTTGGAAGGAGGCCATTGCAACCATATCTGAAAAGCAGATATGGAATTCTGGGGTTTGAAATCCACAAGTTTTAAAGTTGCCCAGGTTGGAGATCCCTGGTCTAGGGTGTCTCCAAGAATTGGACCTGATTGAACAGAAGAAGAAAAAAGTGCAATCTAAGCTGGGTGTCAACAGCATATTGTAGTTCTTGCTTGACTTTAAATCACTCTGAGTTTTTCAAAAGTTCAGGCCAGAAGCAAGCCAATTTGTTATATAGACCTTTTATTTTGTGTCTCTTCTAGATTCTTGAACTGCTCACTAGGTTAGGGATGTATAGATTATGAGTAGTTAATGGTGGTGATTTTTAATGTCCCTTACATATCTATGATTTCAACTGGTTCATAAAAAAAGAAACCACTTGAACATTTCTATTGAAAAGGTAAGGCTGTCCAACATAAAACTGCTCATATTTTAAGATAAGAAAATAATAAGAAAAGCTATATTATTCTAAACTGGTGTTGCCCAGACATCTTGGACTATAATCTTTGTTTTAACTTTTAAAAATTTTGTAGTATATCTCAACTGATAATAACTACCAAAAATATAACGCAAACATGTGTATACTTGTAAATACTATAAATCTGTCAAACAGTAGTCTCACCCCAGTGGTTCAATATAAATTTTCTTGTATCTCCTATTCTTGGATGAACTTTTTTCTTGAATGGCTTGCTATTTGTGCAGTGATTACTTGTTTGCCCATAAAAATATTTGCCTTTGCTGAAGGGTTGAATCCTACACTTATTCTTGTCTATCACTCTTACCATCCATGACCATTGACCATATCCCAAATTGAAATCTAACATTATTTGCAGATTACAGTTGTTTAATCCCCAGCTACTCTTTTTAAGAAAAAATTATGTGAGGGAAAACTGCTTTTGACATATTCATATAAGTATTAATTTTTACTAAACAGACTCTCTCATACCTAATTAGAAATTGCTTTCTTCAAAAAGTCTGTCATGATGGACAACAGCTCTTTTTATCGAAGTGTTAATGAAATTCTGGTTCCATTGTGCTAAAGGTAGGCATGTAGTTATTTGAAATGCTGATATATAGAGATAGAGATAGAGATAGAGATAGAGATAGAGATAGAGATAGANAATAGTTCCTGATCAAATTCTTGTATTATCAAATGGGATAATGCAAGAATTAATCCTGGGTCCTTTAATCTGTAATATTTTCATTAATAATTTACACGTAGAAAAGATGGGGATGCTGATAAAATCTGCACATGAAACAAAAATGGATATATGACAGATGTAGAAGCTAAACACTTTCTGCATTCTCCCATATGATTTTCCAGGTAGACAAGCTGTTCCTAGAGGTTGTAAACCCAATCTGAAAAAATAATTGCGAGAAACCAGCTTGCAGACAACATGCACAAAGACGGAGCCTCTCAGGAAAAGTGGGGAGAAGAAGCTGAAATGGGATAAGGAGCTAACAGGGAAAGTATCTGAGGCTTATGAGTGGCAAACAAAATTGGATTTAAGCAGTTGGATTTAGATAAACTATGCTGGTTTGGAGGCTACTGTAAGATCGTTGGATTCCAGGGAAGACCAAAGAGCCATTGACGAGTTTCTGGGTTAAGGAAGATCATCAAAGGTAGAGAAGAACCAGATTTTTAGAATCAGCCTATTCTGTGCAGAATTCTCAGGGGGAAGTAGAGCATCTGAAGAGAAAAATATCCACAAGAGATTGCCAGCTAAATTTTCTCTAAAGCTCTTAATTAACCCTAAGAAGATTAGCTATAGCTGCAGACATAGTTTAGAAGTTATATTATTGCAGGCAGTGAAATAGTTGAGCTCTGAATGATATTGCAATAAAACTATAATACAAGTTGCTGCATTCCAACCTTTCATCTAAAATGTTTTGCAGGCAACTGAATAAGGAAAAGGGGGGATAAGCTTATGCTTATCATTTAGTTAACATTTACATGATTGGCCTTGCACAGCTGGAACAGAAACCAATGCTTTCTTTCAATGCAATGAATAATGAAAATAACTGAACTGGTCCACTACTACAGATAGGTTATTGTGTGCTGTAGTTTTTATCAGTTTGGTCTTCAGAACCCCAACATTCCCCTCCATTACATATAATTTAAAAACCTGGAAGACAGAAAATAACATCTACAATTATCTTGAAAAGTATCCTAAGTAACAGAATGAAATCTAACAAGTGTGAAGGTCTTCACTTCATTTAGTAATAGAACAGAGGTGGGTTGCAAATCCCGTTGCTACTGGTTCGCTCGTGCTCACAATTTTTCTGTGCATGTGCAGAAGCGTCCAGGCGGGTAGGTGGAGCCTCTCGCCATCACCACTACCACCTCACTCGTTCCAGGCCAAACCGGGAGCAACCAACCCCTGTAATAGAAGCTATGAAAAAGATCTTGGAATAGTAGTGGATTACAAATGGAATGTATGTAATTCTGTGTAATTATCTATCATTCTGTGTTATGTATTCTGTAATGTGAAAGCAAAAAATAATAATGTTTGTTTAGGCCGCACCAACAGAAATATAACCTTCAAATCACAAAAATAATTATTATTCCTCTTTATTCTTAGTCTCCTTAGTGAGACACACAGGTCACAGACACACACAAAGTACCCTGTCTATTCAGGCCAACATCTTCTAAGATGAATTTAGAGAAACTGGAACAAATTGAAAGAAGAGCAAGACGGAAGACTAAGAGATTAGATATTAAGTCCTATGAAGATGGATTGAAGAAAGTGGGTATATTAAGCCTTGAGAAAAGATGACTGAGGTATAATAAAATAGTACTGTTCAAAAGCCTGGATGGATATTACAAAGAAGGTCAAAACCTGTTCTTTCCTCCATGGAAAAATGGATTTAAATTACAGAATCGATCAAATTCCGACTGAATGTTATAAAAAACTTTCTAACCGCAAGATCGATTCAGCAGGGATCAAACTAGCACTTTCTCACTTTATGAAACCCTTGGTTCTACTCTGGAATTTAGATGTCTTGGATTACAATTTCTATCATGACCATGACAGAATTCTCATCCCTCAGAATCTGGAATCATTGGTTCCTCAACCTGAAACTAAATAACAGGTTTCAAAATTTCATTTTATGTTTATATGAATATAGCTGAGCGATCGATTGATAAGTGTAGGAACTACACTTAACACTGAGGAGCCCCTAGTGGGAAGGGCGATGGCACAAAACATATTGAACCAAGATTTTCCTTTTCTTTTTCACTAGAATTATTAGATTAGATTTCGTTAGGATTAGATTTCTCAAGGAAATCTTCAGTTACAAAAGACAAATATAATATTGTGATCCCTTCTGAGCAAATCTGGAGATGACTGATTTGCACAAGTTATATTCTCCTTTTTCTGGCACATTTTTTTGAAACACAGATGTTAAGAAAGATCTTTAGTAAAGATATATATTAGCACTTCAAATTATTCTCAGCAATAAAATAATATAAAATTAAATCTACTTACAGGAATCATCCAGTTGGCTAAATCACCATTTTTAGATACCTGCATTGCCCCAAGCATAGTTAGATCAACATGTCCCCTGTTAAAACATCAAAGCACAACATCAGTGCACAACTGGAAGAACAACTACAAACAGAATTCTAGCACACTAGTTACTTTAATCCTCATGTTTCTGAAAAATTAAATAGCAGTGAGATTAAAGAATTGCTTGTTTAAATGTATTTGAATAAACGTAAGACTGAAGTTCCAAAGACATTTATAGAAGGCTATATCTGTCTGAATGCAGTAATAGATTAAAATGTGGCATTAATTAATTGAATAAATCACAATTGGTTGGGAGTCTAAACCATGATTCATAAACCATAATGATTGGGTTGATGCAAATTGCAAGCATAAAACCAACCAACTGGTACCATTGGTGGCTTGGTACCAGAGCTTTGATCAGCAGATGTTATAAATAAACAAATGTTAACATCTAATAAATAATAAAGTAACTTTCATGCATTGCATATTTAGTTACGAAAACATCCATGCTATGAAACTCAGTTCATAAAATAGAAGGATTTATATAAAGAGTTAGTTTGACAATTCTTAAAACTGCTGGAGCTGCTAATATAGCTCAAATATCTATCAACTGCATGACTGTTTTGATGGGTAAGTATGAAGTCCCTTTGGGATGGTTAAATAATAAATTCAACTACCAGTTGGGGCAGTGCCTTGGACAGTTAGTACAATTAGGATGATCATTACATACCCTCTAATCATTGCAAAAGATTCATCACTAGAGAAGTAGGAAGCACCTGGCAATACAGTGACTGTTTCTTTACCTGAAAAAGAAATTGGGCATAAAATCAGAGAACTTTCCAGGGTGGTACTGGAAATTTATTCTGTCAAATCAACTCATATCAACTTCATACATTATTATTCTTAATTAGTAAAGAAAGAAAAAGATTCCCTCTACATTAAATAGAAATTTTCTTGAAGTATCTCACTGTTAAAAAAAAAAGGTTATTGTATTCAGTAAGTCCCAAAGGGGCTTTTTCAGGAGGCGACTGGACTTTCCTGGTTTTTTTTTTTGTTAAGACGTTTCACTTCTCATCCAAGAAGCTTCTTCAGCTGTGACAGAATAGTGAGGAATGGAAGGATTTATATTCCTTGCAGACAGCTTTGCAAGGAATATAAATCCTTCCATTCCTCACTATCCTGTAAGAGCTGAAGAAGCTTCTTGGATGAAAAACAAAATGTCTTCAAAAGAAAAAACAAGAAAATCCAGTTGCCTCCTGAAAAAGCCCTTTTGGGACAACAACCATGACCTGGATGACTGAGAATCTCTACAGACTGTATTCAGCAAGGCAGAAAAATGTACAGAGAAGGTGTACCTTCATAGTACTTATTCTAGTATTTGAGAAAAAATGAATACAAAAGGAGAAACCATGCACACTTTCAAGTACTTCACATCTTCCCCAAAGAGAATGCTAAACTCGCTTGATACCTTGCATTTTTTAAATCAAATGGTTTGTATTTGAGTCCATTTGAGGGTATTGCAAACGTCCAAGCATCCATAAATCCTGTGCTGCTGAGCACTTTCTTCATGAAATGCAGAAATGAAGCCAGTGAATCAGAGAAGGATAGTTACATGGTTCATCTTTAAACACAAATATTTTAGCATAAATACTGTACTGTAATACTGAAGTTGAAAAGAGCTGAAGGACTGTAGTTGAAGGTACTAAATAATGAAGTCGGGAAGTTTGGGTTAAAGTCCTTTTTCAAAGATTAGGCTTGGACAAAGCCCATGGGGCAGCCACTTCAATGGATTGTTGAGGTGATGAGCAGGGTGGTATAAACTACAACTGAGAGAAGGATCCAAGAATACTAAGAAAAGCTTCAGAATAGACCCTCATGAATCAGTCAGGGACCCTGGTGAAAAATATCCAGGAAATGGCATTGTTCAGTTCACCCAGCTCCATTGGAACCAAGTAACTCCCATAAGTTTTGTTTACTTCTGAAAAGGCAGAAGCATCTCCTGTGGAGAAGCTTAGAGAGAGAAAATACCCAGATACTACTGAGTAATAATTATAGTATTTTATCAGGATGGAGCTGTGCAGTACTAAACTGGGAGAGGAGGAAGAATGGTATTTGTGATGTTTTTACTTTATAACTTGGCGACTAAAGCTAAGAATTACTAGAGTTACTCTGATGTGAGTAACTAAAGTGACTGGCACCAAAAAAAAGCATGTTAGGTACATGTAGTCTACATCCTCCTAGCTTTGTGTGAATCCTGAATGTCTTGGTTCCCAAACACACGAAACTTGTTATTTTAATATAACAGAAGAGGAAGGTTTTTTAAAATACTTAGTTGGGATTTAATCTTACTATCTACTATATTTAAGTGGCAATGACATTAAGTTTAGTCTTTGCATGGCTGCTACTCTGAACAAATTTGTTTTGTGGTGCTACTAAAAGACCAAGTAGATCTTTGGCTCAGAAAAAATAGTGTGCCCCTATGCTAAAGCTACTTCTTCTTCTACATCTCTACATCTGGAACATTTCTTTCTGGTCCTCCCCATGTATTCAATCTGGAGTCAGACAATAGGTTGCACTAATCTCTCTGAATGAAAAAGCAAGATAGAAATGTAAGTAACAGAATAGGGAAAAGTTACCTGCATTGATGAGATCAGGGTCAACTTCATTTTCAGATGGATAGGGTCCCTAATTCAACAACAACAACAACAACAAATATTGAATCTTTCTTTTAACCATATATTTAATGAACTCATTCGTAAGTATTAACCTCTCCAGCCATATTTACAGCAGTCTGCAACAAACTGTTGTCCTCAGCTGAACTACAGGTCCCCTTTCACACAAGTCCGTGATAGGAACTGTAAGTCCTATTAATCTGGAAGGTCTTGGCTGGAGTAGGTTAAAGGATAGGTTTCTGTATTATCTCTTACCAAACCAAGGACGCCATTTTCACTCTGTAGATGCACAGTTATATCCGGACTGATGAAGTTGCTGGCAAGTAGGGGAATGCCGATACCCAGGTTAGCTTTAATTAATTAAGTTAAGGTTCCATTCAACTTTTATCTACATTGCTTGTTCTGTTGTGCCTTCAGAAACAAGGAAGAACTTTTACCGTGGCTAAAGGATACCATACATGCCATCTGCAAATTCAAGAGCTGCCCGCCTGATAATTCTTTCTCTTACATTATCACCACTTTTCTTTGATTTGCTGTGAGATTCCTCAGCTTTGCGAAGTGATAATCTCTAAGAAAAAAAAGGAGAGCAAGAAGTTGGTGTTTCTTCCATGAGACATTTGGAACAAGCAAATGACACCTCAGGAGTCTTAAATAAACAGATGTTCCTTTACACTCAGGTACTTTAAAATAGTAAGAAATAACATTAAGTGGGCCTGGTCTATGTATAGCAGTAGTCACCAACTGCTGGTCTGTGGACCATTGATGGTCCACAAGAAAATTTTGATGGTCTGCAGAAAAATTATTTGCATTTTTTATATTGCACTAAATCGGGGGTCCTCAAACTATGGTCCCTGGGACGTAACCCTAACCCTCAATGTGAGTGATATCGAGTTGGCCACACCCACCCAGTCACATGACACCTCCTCCAAACTATGCCCAGCCAGCCGGTCATTAGGCAGATCATATTAGTGGCCTGAGAGATTTAAAATTATGAATTTAGTGTTCCTTGAGGACCGAAAGTTTGGCAACCCCTGATTTATAGCAATTTTCTCTGAGTTGAGAGATGTAGTTGGTTTTTGAATAAAGTCTTGGGAACTGTACGTCAAAAATATCAAGTGAAAAAGCGTCAAAAGCTTACTTTGATTTTTATATGCTCAAAGGTGGAAGGACTTATAAATATCTACAATAGTAGAATGTATGGTGAAGCTGGAATTAGCAGAGATGGTGAAAGCTGTCGCTTTGATGAAAGATTTTGACAAATTTTAGTTTTACTTGGAAACCATTATTGGACTTTTTGAGAGAAACTGTAAGAAATGAAAAGCTGATTTTGGAATTTCATTAGTATTACACGGGATTATGAAAATAATATTGAGAAATGTTGGCCTTAGAGTAAGTCTTTGATGCATTTTTATATTTATATTTATATCAAAGAAAGCCAGAAATAATTATTTTTCTATTTTTCTTATTATTTTTCTTTCTGCATTTTTACTTTTATTGCTTTCTGAGCCATTTTCTTTTCTAATTTTGTTTATTTTCTTTTCTATTTGTTTATCTTTTAACTTCATTCCTTTTTGGAAATCTAATAAGTTATTAAAACTGCTTGCTTTGATTATTTTTTTAAATGTGCATTTAATTAAAATTAATAATAGGCAATATTTTTGCACGAAAGGGACAGAATGGAAGAAAGGTTGCAATTACCTCCACTAGACCGATTAGATCCCACAGATTAGGCCTCCTCCGAATTCCATCCACCAGCCAGTGTTGACTGGCGACCACCCGGAGGAGAGCCTTCTCTGTGGCTGCTCCGACCCTCTGGAATGAACTCCCCCTGGAGATTCAAACCCTCAAAGCCATTAAAACCTGGCTGTTTCGACAGGCCTGGGGCTAAAGAGCTGTTGCCCCCATCTCGAATGGTATGACTGTTGTGTGTTTTAAATTGTGTTTTGTCATGTTTTTTTTTTTAATCTGTACCCCCCCCCCTTCCCAGATTTGATTTGTCAGCCGCTCTGAGTCCCCTTCGGGGGAAAAGGGCAGCATATAAATATAATAAATGAAATGAAAATGAAATGAATGTTGAATGTAGTACAGAGGATCTGAATTAAACTAAGCAGAGGAACAAAAGCAGACAATTCTATTATTCGTGTCTATTATCATCATGCAACCAAGGAGATGATGCATATCATGTATTCTTAACAGCGGAGGCAAAATAGTAGACTTTAATTAATTAAATAGCTGTTAGGGGACAAGACCTTGCTTTTTACTTTATAGAATATATAATATGTTCTCTCAATAACCTTGATGGTGAACCTATGGCACGTGGGCTACAGGTGCCACGCATAACCCACTCTGCAGGCATACGAGCAGCCACCCCAGCTCAGTCCACTGTGCAAGTGCACACGCCTCCCACCAGCCAGCTGATTTTCAGATCTCTGGGGGTGGGGCGCATGCGGCGCTCCCCCTCCAGCCCATTTTTGGTCCCAGGAGGCTGCAGGGAGGCCTATTAGGCCCAAAACAGGGCATGGGGGGGGTGTCACATGTGCGTGCATGGGGGATGGGGGGATTGCAGGGGTTCAGGGCATGGGGTGGTGTAGCACGTGCACTGTATTATGGGTGCGGGTGCACGCTGTCGTGCATGCTGCATATGCTTTCGGCACGCAATGACAAAAACGTTAGGCACCACTGCTCTATATAGAAGCAAGGAGAGAAGCAACTTAGAAATAAGAAGAAATTTCCTGACAGTTAGAATAACTTGCCTCCAGAAGTTGTGAATGCTCCAACACTGGAAGTTTTTAAGAAGACATTCGATAACCACTTGTTTGAAATGGTATAAGGCAGAGATGGAATTACATTGCATTGTTGATATCTTTATAACCCTAACCTTCTATCCTTTCATCTATATGGTATATTTAGACAGGAAAAAAGAAAACAACCCTAAAACATAGTCCAAACAAAATAAATCTCACATACACACACACACACATACACACACACAGATTTGAAACCCATATGTGGTAAGTTCATAATTTTTCTCAGGTTTCAAAGTTCTGCTACATGGTTAAGCAAGAAAGGAAAATCTCTAAATTTTATTTCTCCTCCTGATATATAATTTCTGGGTGTGAGTACCTGACTGTAAGTCAATTCGATTCCCGGGAATTGCTTGGACATGTCCCCTGCAGCTCTCTTTGTAACATTTTTTAGATGCGATTTGCCTTCTTAGAGCTCACAGAATGACTGGCCCATGGTCACTCAACTGGCTTCATACTTCATTCTGACTTTATTGGAAGTGATTGGGTGCTCTTCCAACTGCTGCAGAATTTGTTAATTAATTTTCGAGATCCCCAGGAGGTTGTATGGGAGCTGCATGCACCCCTGGGCCTTCAGACTGTAAATCTCTGGTTTATGCTAAGACTTGTATTAGTAGCACAGTCAGCTGTAGACTAAGGGTATTTCCAGAGGGTTCTATCCTGATTATACCTTTGTAGTACACAGACATTCAGATTTTGTCAAGGAATAGGTGCCTAGGCTGCTCTCTACTCTATGGCTGTTCGGGTGCAAGGACTTGTTTACTAATTGATAGAAGTCAATAGTCAATAGTTAGTTTGGGGGTGATTTCACACAAGAGAAATATCAAGGGAAAATAGTTCTTATGAGCCACAGTGGTGCAGTGGTTAGAGTGCAGCACTGCAGGCTACGTCTACTGACTGCTGGCTGCCTGCAATTTGGCAATTCAAATCTCACCAGGCTCAAGCTTGACTCAGCTTTCCATCCTTCCGAGGTAGGTAAAATAAGGACCCAGATTGTTGGGGACAATATGCTGACTCTGTAAACCGCTTAGAGAGGGCTGTAAAGCACTATGAAGTGGCATATAATTCTAAGAGCTATTGCTATTGCTTTCCCTATTCTGAGATCAAAGGACAAAGAAGGCAAGTTTAATATCACTGCTGAGCTCAACAGTATTTACAGTACTCACATTTGTTTTCCACTCCCCTCCCTAGAGTCCGAGTGGTGAACATCAAGCAATAAAAACAGAAGCTGACACTAATAATAAAAGCTCAAAAGTTCAAAATTACCTGTTCGTGTGCATTCTTTTCTGCCTTCCACAGTCACTGCTGTGTTATGGATTTAGTACCCGTTTGGGACAACTAAGACCCAACACTGTATATTATTAAAAGGCAACACTCTGTTCCAAGAACTGAGAAATCCATGAACTAAGATGATTTCCTATAGGGAGGGAGGGTGTTTGTGTGTATGTGTGTGTTGAAAGAGAGAAGGGGGTGCATATAAAAAAAAATCCGCATCCAGTAAAGCTACTTTGTGCAATTTAATTTAGAACATTTAGAGAATATTATAAATCAATATAAGTAAGTGAATAAAATGGGAGGAGGGGAAACCCTCACCCTTCCCTATGTCAATTCATGGCCCGACTACTGCTGTGCACTCTACATGGGGCTGCACTTGAAAACCACCAGAGGCTTCAATTGGTCCAGAATGCAGTAGCACAAGCAGTGATGTAACTCCTCTGCTTCATGGATTTCATTGGTTGCCAGTTTGTTTCCAAGTGCAATTCAAGGTGCTTGAATAAAGGCCTACAATTCCTTTAATTAAACCATGCCATCTATTGGGATCCCGGAAGAGCGCCTTCTCTATAGCAGCACTACTACATGAGGTTCCCCTGAAGATCTGGATGGGGTCTCTGCTGTTGTTCAGAAGAGCAGTGAAGACTTAGTCCTTCATCCAGGTCTTTGGCAAGGGAGAATGAAGCTCCTTGCCTCATTCCATCTAGTCTGTCACACTTGCCAGCTTTTATTGTTTTTATTGCAATTTATTTTATTTGATTGTTGTAAGCTGCCCCAAATCATTGGGAGTTGGCTGACATGCAAGTTTTATAAATAATAATAATCATCATCATCATCATCATCATCATCATCATCATCATCCTGAAAAAGTCACCAAAAATCAGATGGTCAAGATCTTGTG